ATTCATGTCCTTGCCACATGCAAAACACATTCACCCCATCACATCGTCCCAAAAGTGTTAAATCAACTCCAAGTCCAAAATCTCATCTTCCGAAGCATCTAAAATCAAATATGGGTGAGAGTTCAGCTGTAGTCCATCCTGGGGCAAAATTCCTCTTCATCTGTGAATGTGTGAAATCTAGACTACAAGTTATCTGTTTCCAAAGTACTGTGGTGGAACAGGCACAAGGTAGACATTTCCATTACAAATGGGAGAAATTAGAGGGAAAGAAGGAATAACAGGCACCAAGCAAGTCCAAAACCTAGCAAAACAATTTACATTGGCTCTCAAGACTTGAAAATAATCCTTTGTTCTCTAAGACCATCTACGCAATGGCCCTGCTCTCCAGACTCTGTGTTGGCCATGCCCTCTGGATTCTGGGTGGAGGACCCTCAGCCCTGGGCTTCAGCTCCATCTTCCAGCCCTCTGGGATGGCAACTCTGCTCCTTCAGCTTTAGGCAGCCCCATTTTCCTAGTCCATCTGAGTGGTGACCCCGCCCTCTTGTCCCCAGCATGCCCTGTTCTTCCCCCCTTGGGGATGGCAGCCCCGTCCTCTCAGCTTTAGGCAGCAGCCCCATCCTCCGGCACACCTTAACAGCAGCCCCATACTCCTGAATCAAGTTGGCGAAGATCCAATTGTTTGAAATCTAGGAGGCTATGGACCTGCCCTTTGAGATCCAGAAGACTGTGGCCCCACCCTTTGAAACTGAGAAGGTCCTGCTTCCTGTGTTCCTTCGAACAATTCTGCTGATCTCTGAGCTGCTCCAGGGATGGTCTTTTTCTTTTCTTAGAGGACAACAGATGTAGCTCCTTTGGCCTGTTTTCTGCCTGTAGAATTCCAAGGGACAGACAGCGTTCATTCCTTTTGTTATTTCTCTGTCCCCTTCAGTCTAAGCTGATGGATTTTCTGCTGTGGTAGTTGGTTAGGTCCATCAGTCACAGGCTTAATCTCTTTAACAAAAGATTGTGTAGTCGTTTCCTTTGTGAAAATTCTAGGACATATGTCCTTAGTTTGTTCAACAGAATTTTCCTGATAGTTAAATTTTGTTTTCATTTTGCATAGGCTGCCTCTGTCAACTCTGTAACAGGAACTTTCTGTGTGATAGCTCTTGTACACTTCAGAAGCTGAGCTCAGAGAGGTTAAGTAATTTGCCCAAAGTCATACAGCTGGGCAGGACTTGAATTCAGATTTAACTAATTCTAAGCCCATGAGTTTAAGCCCTATACTAAACATTTGTCTAAAACATTGATAGCTGTTCCCTGGCAGTGCAGTGGTTAAAGTGCTTGGCTGCTTAACTGAAAGACTGGTGGTTCGAGCTCACCCGTCACTCCACAGGAGAAAGACGTGGCAGTCTGCTCCGTAAAGATTACAATCCATCTCTTTCCTCTAACATTTTACTATAAGCAGCAAGGAGGAACCATGTGGCACCTTTAAGATTTTGCTTAGAAATCTCCTCAGCTAAATATGCAAGTTCTGCGTTCCACCAGACATTGGAACATAATTCACACAAGTTCTTTGCCATTGCATAAAAAGCATCAGCCTTCTTCCGTTGTCCAATAACATGTTCATCATTTTAAAGCCTCACCAGAAACACATTTAACGTCCACATTTCTCGCAACATTCTGTTGCTGGCATCATATGTAATCTCTAAGACGATAGAGACTTTCTCTATAGCTCTCCTCACTTCCTTCTGAGCCCTCCCCAGAATTGCCTTTGACGTCCATAATTCTACCAACAGTCCTTCAAGGCAATCTAGGCTTTTACTATTAGGTACCTTAAAACTCTTCCAGCCTCCACCCATTACCCAGTTCCAAAACCACTTCCACATTTTAGGTATCTGTTACAGCAGCACCCCCACTTTTTGGTACTGGATTCTGTCTTAGTTATCTAGTGCTACTATAGCAGAAATACCACAAGTGGATGGCTTTAACAAACAGAAATTTATTTTCTCACAGTTTAGGAGGCTAGAAGTCCAAATTCAGGGTGCTAGCTCTACATTCTTGCCTCTTCTGAGCTTCTGCTCCTGGACAATCTTCATGTGACTTAGTATCTCTCTTCCCCCATCTCCTCTTGCTTGCTTGTTTTAATCTCTTTTATATCTTGAAAAAGATTGACTCAAGATAACACCTTACACTAATGCTGTCTAATTAGCATAACAAAGACAACCCATTCCCAAATGGGATTATAATCACAGAATAGAGGTTAGGAATTACAACTTGTATTTTTGGGGAACACAATTCAATCCATAACAGTAGTTTACACCCATGAGCTCATTTACTCTTCATACCAACCCAGTGAGATATTATTAGAGAAGGCTCAGTGGCTCAGAGATTGAGTAACTTGCCCAAAGACACACAGCAAGGCCAGGATTCCAACAGAGCTCTGTCCATGCCTGAAACTCTAGTACTTAACTGCTCTGCCTCCTTGCAGACTTGATTCTCTTTTAGAGATAAGAGAGAGCATTTGTTTTCCAAGCAGCTGAGATGGGGAAGGCAGACCTAGCAAAGGAAAAGCATGTTCAGAGTCCCAGAGGTATGAAGGAGCCTGCTGGGTTAGAGAAGTACAAGTAGCTCCAAACTGCCTGGGCATAACGTGTGAAGAGGGGGTCATGGCCAGACCATGAGGGGCCTGTGTTCTGTGCAATGGGTCATAGATGGTCTGAATGAGAGGGGCCTCCACTCGGCTGCCTGCCCCCAGGGCTGGTTATGAGCTTGTCCATTCAGTCTGACTCTTGCCTGACAGTGGCAGAGAATCAGCAGACTGAGAAAGAAGCAATAGTGATTCTGGACACTGCTCTAAGGAGGCGTTGGCCAGTCCAACTAGGAGCCTTGTAAAGAACACACTTGCCACAAGCAGATATCCAAGGCTGGTCCCCAAACAAAGCAGCTGCTTGGGGGAGTGGTGCAGGGCCCAGGTCGTGGGGAACAGCACAGAGGGGGTGCAGTGATGTGAATGCCCACCTTGATTGGAGCCCTGTAGGTGTCAGAATGGACCCGGTCATTGTCTCACTATAGAGAGAACATAGAGAATCGGGCATACCATCTCTGCTCTCAGGGAACTTCTAAGCCAGTCGCACACTCCTGACTAGTAGGGGCCATCCATGCTGGAAGCTAACGTCATATCATATGGGAAAACCAAAAGCCATTGCCGTTGAGTTGATTCTGACTCATAGTGACCCTATGGGACGGAGTAGAACTGCCCCATAGAGTTCCCAAGGCTGTAATCTTTACGGAAGCAGACTGCCAACGTCTTTCTCCTGTGGAGCAACTGGTGAGTTCGAACCACCAGTCTTTCAGTTAAGCAGGCAAGCACTTTAACCACTGCACTGCCAGGGAACAGCTATCAGTGTTTTAGACAAATGTTTAGTATAGGGGTTAAACTCATGGGCTTAGAATTAGCTAAATCTGAATTCAAGTCCTGCCCAGCTGTATGACTTTGGGCGAATTACTTAACCTCTCTGAGCTCAGCTTCTGAAGTGTACAAGAGCTATCACGCAGAAAGCTCCTTGTTACAGAGTTGACAGAGGCAGCCTCTCACACAGTACCTAGCATACAGCAATGAATCAATCAGTGGGAACAGTGAGTGTTTCTACTTTTTCTCTCTGTGAATAACCTCATTCGATTGACTGAACCTCAAAGATGTCCAGAGCTTCCTAACTAAATTATGAGTAAATTGAGTCACTCACGCAGCGTTTACCAGGCACAGCTTACATGCCAGGCACTTTGGTGGGTACTGGAGTCCCTGAGTAATGCAAACTGTTAGCATGCTCTGCTGCTAACTGAAAGGTTAGACGTTCAAGTCCACCCAGAGGCGCCTTGGAAGAAAGGCCTGGTGATCTACTTCTGAAAATCAGCCATTGACCCTATGGAGAACAGTTCTACTCTGATACCCATGGGGTCACCACGAGTTGGGGTCACCATGAGTTGGAGTCAAAATGGCAACTGGTTGTACTGGTTGTAGTGGGCCCGCAGAGATGAAATCTTGCAATCAGACAGGATGCAGACCGATACTTAGAATTGATGTGCTATGTGCTTTGCTTTGGAATTCATTCCTTTACTCACAAAGGGTATTTATCAATCTCTTACCGTGTGCCAGACATTGTGCTGGGCAAGGCAGATAGAGTCCATGGCCTCCGAGGAGCCCATATGCTATGAGGGAAAATAGGCACTGTGCATGGAATTCTAGGAGAAATGTGGGTGAGAAGAGGTCTAGGGTGCTGTGGGACCGTGCATCTAAAGTGCGGTGGGGAGGGCAGTGACGGGGGGATTACCTGCCTTAGGGGGCTGGAAGGCCTCCATGAGTTAGCTGCCTTTAACCAGAGACCCCAGATCAGAAAGGTGCAAGATCTGTTACACAGGACAGCAGAGGGAATCATGGAAGGTTCCCAGGAGGTGGGGACACTTGAGGGGGTGCTGTGGGCCCTCTGGTAACAAGCTGCAATGGCTTGGGCATGGCACGCGGATGCCCCTTCCCAGGGCAAGCCAAATAACCTCTGTGATGCGAGGCAAAGCCCCCACTGCGCCCTGCCAGATAGCGTAGCACTCGCCTCCCTGGCCCTGCCCTTGAAACCTCTCCAGCACACAGCCTCCCAGTTGCAATGTAGAGCAGCCCGGGCTGAGGCTTGGGCAGCCAAGGGGCACTCGACAGAGGAAGCGAAAGTGCCAAGAAATAGGGGTTTGGGGACGGAGAGGCCCCTCATCCAGAACTCCAGGATGAACTGCTCATCATTGGAACTGGCGCTGTTATAGCCACCAGGAGGCCATCAAAAAGAGAGGAAAAAAAAAAAAAAATAGATACTGCATTTTAAATTCCTCCAAACCCTCTTAGAATAAAAATGACAAAGCCCCAGGTCTGGTTGGCTGGAGGGACGTGGTTAATAGGCTTTGGGGGAATAGTCAGTGATGAATGCAGCTGCTCCAAGTGCCCACTCACCCTTCTATTTGCTTTTCTCTCCCCCCAGAACACACCGGTGGGGACGCCTATCTTCATTGTAAACGCCACAGATCCTGACCTGGGTGCGGGCGGCAGCGTCCTCTACTCTTTCCAGCCCCCCTCCCAATTCTTTGCCATCGACAGTGCCCGAGGCATCGTCACCGTGATTCACGAGCTGGACTACGAGACCACGCAGGCCTACCAGCTCACTGTCAATGCCACGGTGAGTCCCACGTGCTCTGCCCTGACAGCCAGAGCTCTGCCTCTTCCCTCCCTCCAAGAGAGCAACATGGCATTCCGGATGGAACCTTGACTCAGGTCCCTGTGAGTCAAGGCTCTGTAGTAGTGGCAGTAGTAAGAACAGTGACGACAGCTAATATTACTGAGGGCTTGTGGTGTGTTCCTGGCACTGTGTTGAACATTCGAATGGGTTGTCTCCATTAAACCTCACCACAGCCCTATGTCATAAGTATTATTAAGATACCCATTTTACAGATGAGGAAACTGAGGCATGGGGGCAATTCAGCGACTTGCCGATGGTCACCCAATGCAGCCCTACACCAGACTGTGTACCGGTAACTACCACAGGACATTCATAGTGCGGGGTGTCCTCTTGCTCTCTGGAACATAGATGGAGGTGTCAGCCCCAGCTGTGTCCTAACACCACTCAAAATGCAGGAACCAGAGGGGTCCAGGTGTCCTGGCGTCCACCTGTAGAGTGGTGACACCTGTATGGTAGGGAGTACCCTCTTTGCCAAGCAGGATGCTGGCCCCTGGGAATCCAGGACGAGTCAGCCAGGGGGGAGGCAGGAGAGGGGTAGTTACCCCATTGTATGGCTGATACTGTTGAGACTCACACAGCTGAGGGGGAGCATGGGGGGCAGCAAGAACCCAACCCCAGGCTGTCTGACTCCCGGTCCAGTGCTCTGACCACCATGCTCCTTGGCCAGGGGTCTCTGAGTCTCCAGAGCAGCTGCTTGGCCTTTGTCACAGCCAGCTGTTGTCGAGGGCCTGGGGGCAGGTGAGCCACACCCTAAATAGGGCCCTGCCCTTGCACTGCTCTCCTCTGGCTACTGCCTTGGGGCCCAGCTGGAGCCATCAGCCACATCAGGGTGACACATTGGCCTTTTGTCATTTAGATTTCTGTTTACAAAGCTCAGGCCAAGAGCAAAACAAACTATGTGAGTCCCTATTAACCCTCCATGTCACTCTACCCCTGGCCCCCGGGTCGCTGCAGTGCGGGAAGCAGCTGGAGGCTCCACTTGAAGGTCGCAGAGCCCAGATCCTGGGGACGATACACTGGACAGTTTTGAAAGGTGGGGCCCCACCTGGCTTGGCCAACATGCAGAGGCCTCAAGAGCCAGGAAATGCAAACCTTTTGTTTGAACCTGGCTCAGCGGCTCCTGAAGAGGTCACTGCAAACGACACCCACACTCTTTTCCCCTGGTTGAGTTTTAGTTGCCTGGAAGAGGCGTGTGCTGCTATTTGTAAAACTGACTTCCGGGACCAAGGGGATTTGCAAGCCTGAAATTCACTTCCGTGCACATACCTGTCCCTTCAGCACTCTCTTACACCCACACCCACGCTGCCCACCCATCACTCTGCCTTTGCATACACCTGGGCACCGAAGCACACAGAGGCTTGCTCTTTCTCACTCTGAGCCTGTCTCTGTGGGATAGAATGGTAAGAATGCATGGTAAGAAGGGCCTAGGGCCTTGCTGGACCATGCAGGAATCTAGGTGGTCAGGCTAGCCTGCCAAGACCTGGGCTCAAGCTGGGATAGTGAATGCAGTTAAATTGCCATTAATCTCCCAGCAATCAGGCCTTGAAGTAGTGGAACAAAGGGGCCCTAGAACTACCTTCTGTGGCCATTCTGTGCCACTTGATCTGTGGATGACACTGCAGTCCCTTTCAGGGCTGTGCTGTACCCTTGGCTGCTGGGCATGTCCCCAAGAAGATTCTCCTGAGTGGTATCACAGGGAGCTGTGGGTTCCCAGCCACCACTGGGTGGGTACCAGGGTGGGGACATGTGAGGACTCCCCTGAGAATGAGCTCCTACTCACCGCAGGCTGCAGAGTCACAGCTGGAAGCTTGGCGAGTGCCTGTCCCACCAGATGTGCTCACTGCCACCCCCTTTCCCCAGTCACAGAGTCCAGGGTGGACTGGATGGGGCATCTGTGGCAGGGACATGACTGCAGCCACAGGTGTGGGACAGGGAAGGCAGGGGCCAGGCTGGACAAAAGCCAGCTGCCTGCCAAAGTCTGGTAATGACAGCACTGCCCAAGAGGTCAAGGGGCTTCCTGCTGGGCCTCCTTGGGACCTGTCTGCCTGGTGTCCATTCAGGTCCCTGGCTGGGAGCGGTCACCATGGGCAGTCCCCAAGCCTGGGCTGTGGGCCCCATGGTCTTGAAGTGTGGGAGGCTGTCTCCCCCACAGCCATTCCTCTCGACTCCTCCTGCCTCCAGACTCTACCTTTCCCCCCCACCATGTCACCCACTTCCCATCCTGGAAAGCCTTCCCTTCCCTTCTTTGCTGCCCCTTAGGACTCTTGAGACAACCAGGCCTTTCTTCTCCTCCAAGGCTCAGCAGCTCTACCCCTGGAGAGCAGGAGTAGGCACTAAGCTTTTTGTAACGTGGGGGATGCCTGGGACTCATCGTTTGGTCCCCCCAGGCAAACCAAGGGAGACCTAACCTAAGGACAGTCCCTCCTCAAATCCTAGACCAGAGAATGCACAAACCCAAGAGTCCATAGAGGTCATTCAATTCAGCCTCCTTGTCTCACAGATAGATAAGGAAACTGAGACTCTGAGAGGGAAGAGAACTTATTCCAGGTTACTCAGCAAGTTAGAGACTGAGCTGATGTTGGGGCCCCAAATCAAGACTGTTAAGGGAAGGTTTTCATACCAAAAGGACCTGCGTTTGAGTCCTGTTACACACTTATCAGCTGTGTGACTGTGGGCAAGTTACTTAACATCTCTGAGTCTCTGTTCACTCATCTGAATAATGGGGAGAGTAATACCTACAATTAGAAAATTAGAACAAGTCCATGAGAGCCAAAGTATGACCCTGAGTATATCCCACCTGAATTTAGAGACCATCTCAAGAATAGATTTGACACATTGAACGCTAATAACCAAAGACCAGACAAGTTATGGAATGACATGAAGGACATCATACATGAAGAAAGCAAGAGGTCATTAAAAAGACAGAAGAGAAAGAAAAGGCCAAAATAGATATCAGAAGAGACTGCAGCTTGCTCTTGAATGTCAGGTAGCTAAAGCGAACAGAAGAAATGATGAAGTAAAAGAGTTGAACAGAAGATTTCAAAGGGTGGCTCGAGAAGACAAAGTAAATTGTTACAATGACATGTACAGAGACCTGGAGTTAGAAAACCGAAAGGGAAGAACATGCTCGACACTTCTCATGCTGAAAGAACTGAAGAAAAATTCAAGCCTCTAATTGCAATATTGAAGGATTCTATGGGGAAAATATTAAATGACAGAGGAAGCATCAAAAGAAGATGGAAGGAATACACAGAGTCACTGTACCAAAAAGAATTGGTCGATGTTCAGTCATTTCAGGAGGTAGCATATGATCAAGAACCAGTGGTACTGAAGGAAGAAGTCCAGTCTGCACTGAAGACATTGGCAAAAAACAAGGCTCCAGGAACTGATGGAATACCAATTGAGATGTTTCAACAAATGGATGCAGCGCTGTAAGTGCTCCCTCATCTATGCCAAGACATTTGGAAGACAGCTACCTGATCAAACGACTGGAAGAGATCCATATTTATGCCTATTCCAAAGAAAGGTGATCCAACCAAATGTGGAAATTATTGACTAATATCATTAATATCACATGCAAGTAAAATTTTGGTGAAGATAATTCAAAAGCTGTTGCAGTAGTACATCAACAGACAACTGCCAGAAATTCAAGCCAGATTCAGAAGAGAACGTAGAATGAGGGATATCATTGCTGATGTCAGATGGGGATCCTGGCTGAAAGCAGAGAATACCAGAAAGATGTTTACTTGTGTTTCATTGACTATGCAAAGGCATTCAACTGTGTGGATCATAACAAATTATGGATACCATTGCAAAGAATGGGAATTCCAGAACACTTAATTGTGCTCATGAAGAACCTATACATAGATCAGAACCAGAACAAGGGGATACTGTGTGGTTTAAAGTCAGGAAAGGTGTGCGTCAGGGTTGTATCCTTTCACCATAGTTATCCAATCTGTATGCTAAGCAAATAATCTGGGAAGCTGGACTATATGAAGAAGAACGGGACATCAGGATTGGAGGAATACTCATTAACAACCTGCAATTTGCAGATGCCACAGCCTTTCCTGCTGAAATCGAAGAGGACTTGAAGCACTTATTGATGAAGGTCAAAGACTACAGCCTTCAGTATGGATTACACCTCAACATAAAGAAAACAAAAATCCTCACAAATGGACCAATAAACAACATGATGATAAACAGAGAAAATACTGAAGTTGTCAAGGATTTCATTTTACTTGGATCTACAATCAACACCCATGAAAGCAGCAGTCAAGAAATCAAAAGATGCATTGCACTGGGCAAATCTGCTGCAAAAGACCTCTTTAAAGTGTTAAAAAGCGAAGATGTTACTTTAAGGACTAAGGTGCCTCTGACCCAAGCCAAGGTGTTTTCAGTCACCTCATATACATGTGAAAGCTGGGCAGTGGATAAGGAAGACTAAGAAGAATTGATGCCTTTGAATTATGGTGTTGGCAAAGAATACTGAATATACGATGGACTGCCGGAAGAACAAACAGGAGTGTCTTGGAAGAAGTACACCCACAATACTCCTTAGAAGCAAGGATGGCGAGACTTCCTCTCACATACTTTGGACATGTTATTAGGAGAGATCAGTCCCTGGAGAAGGATATCATGCTTTGTAAAGTAGAGGTTCAGCAAAAAAGAGGAAGACCCTCAATGAGATGGATTGACACATGGCTGCAACAATGGGCTCAAGCATAACGAGTATGAGGATGGCGCAGGACAGGGCAATGTTTCATTCTGTTGTACATCGGGTCGCTATGAGTCGGAACCTACTTGATGGCACTTAACAACAACAACAGCAATACCTACAAATGCAAATGAGATGCCTAGCACAGTGTCTGGCATATAATCAGTATTCGTCATGTGAAAGATATTTTTATTGGTTATTGTTATTCAATGGCAGCAGGGTCCTCAGAGTCTGCTGTGTATTTTAGGGTAATAGGTTTCTGGTTTCCTTTCTTGATGAGCTTTTTATAGGACTAATTTCCTAACGAACTAGGAAGATTTGAACACTGCTTGCCTGGCCACAAGGGGATTCCTTCCCAGAATCTCCCAAATGTCATAGGCCCTGGAGCTCCCCCTGCTGGCTCGACCAGGAAAGTCACTTGACCAGTAAACCCAGACCCCAGAGCTGGGACTCAGGTTCTAGAGTAACCCCCTTTGCAGCCAGAGGGCCTTTTTTCTGAGGAGTCCACATCCCAGTCATTCCTGCTGCTCTGGCACAAGGGGGACAGGAAGTGGACACGGATGGGGCAGTGGCCCCCTGGCTGACACAGCAAAGGCGCTAAGAACAGCATCATCTCTTCATCCCAAGCCAGTTATCCTTCCTACCAAATGTCCAGGGTGGGGCAGGAGATCTGGCTGTAACCCAGCCCTGCTTTGTGACATTGGATAAGCCATCATCCTCTGAGACTCGAGGGTCCTGTTTGCGTTTTCCTGCACTGGTCAGAGAATCATTGTGGGTTCTTAGAGTTCTTGAGCTTCCACATCCTAATACCCTACCCTTCAGGAGAGCATGAGTGCATTTGTATATGTGTGCATGTGTGCACACATACATGTTTGCACATGTGTGTCACGTGTAGGTGCATATACATATGCGTGTGTGAATGTGTGAACGTGTGTATGTGTGCATGTCCACAACATCACTTAATCTAAGGCTGTGTCCTCTCTTTGTTCTCTAAGGATCAAGACAAGATCAGGCCTCTGTCCACCTTGGCCAACTTGGCCATCATCATCACAGACGTCCAGGACATGGACCCCATCTTCATCAACCTGCCTTACAGCACCAACATCTACGAGCATTCTCCTCCGGTAAGACCTTCCTGGCCCTTGAAGGATCTCCCTCTGAGCTGCTGTTTGGTGGGATGGCACATCCTACCCCCTAATCCTTATGCATGGCAGTGATGGATCTCCTAGCAAGTGAAAACCCTAACCACCATTTCACACCACACCCCATGTCCTCACCACTCGCTTCGTCTCTAGGGGATCTGAGTGGCAAAGAACAAAGACTGATGCAAGTGCAGGGAAGGGGGGCAGTTCATAAAGTTTTAAGTAGAATGATAGGGACTCCCGTGAAAAATCTGACTTGGGCTGGAAGGTGGATTTGGACTCAGTCAGGATCCACAAAACATCCGTGTGGCCCTGCCATGTCTCCCGCAGGTCAGTCTGCCTCTCTCAGCCAGCCAACACTTTTGCTCAGGGCTCTACTCGCCAGGACGGCACAGCCTACCCTCCACTCCTCATGTCCTCTCAGGCCCTGGCTCTGTCTTGTGAGCTCACAGCTCCTGCTGCCCCTCCTAACTTCTCAGTCTTTGGGTTTCTCAAGTCCAGATTTTCAAGAGAGGCATCTGATTGGCTGTGCCCATGATTTTGTGCCATAAGGTCATAGGTCACCAGCCAGCCTGTAGATTGGCTATGCTTGGACCATGTGCCAAGCCCTCATCCATCTGCTGTGACAGGGAGTCTTAGAGAACAAACATGTCTGCCCACTCAGCAGGACTTGGGTGGGGCTTCTTTGCTCAGCTGTGGGCCAGGCAAGCAGTGCCAGGCATCTCTTGTCTGGTAGCCATCATGCTTTTATGCAGATTAAAATAAAACACCTGCGCTGGGCAGATAACTTAGGAAAAGGTGCTTTGTCTGGGCAGACAGAATCCCTTGGACATGAAGCTTGGGGAGAAGCTTTTGTAGAAAGAAATATGTGCCCCTTCTTTTGGGGGAACTCAGTGTGCTTAGAGGAGGGGCACACAGCTTGGAGAGCAGTGTGGAGGCCCCCACCTGAGGCTCGAAGATGTCAGGGTACCACTGCACAGCTGCACCAACTCTTGGGATTGAGCATAAGTGAGAGGCGGGCTTCCCTGGCTGGGGTGCAGACCACGCTTCCAGGGCCACCCAGGTCAGAGAGGCCTGACCTCAGTTTGGAGATCATGGTCTGCCCTGACCACTGACGTCCTTGATGTGGCAACTTTGGAATTCTGTGCTTCAGTCTCCCGGTGTGTGGGGCAGTATTTGGCTGCTTCCTTCTTGGGACTAGGTGTGGCCTGGAGGATCTGAGTGTTTGCAGCTGCTCTGAAGGCAGAGGGGGAATCTCAAAACCCTATACCGCCTTCTTTCTCTTGGGGTTCCATGGACAGCAGGAGTTCCAGCTTTCGGGACTGAGGCTATGTCTGCTGAGGCCAGCCCACCCCATTTCCCATGCCTTCCCCCGACCTCTTTCTCCCTACATGACCGCCCCTCCCGTGGCCATGTCAACGTCTCAGCTGTCAGGGCTGTCTTACACACTATTTCCTTGGGGACACCATTGCTGAACTTTCAGATGAGGTGAGGCCCTACTGTCTGCCTCCTGGCCCCTGAATATCTCCTTCTTAGTGATCAGAGCTCTTGAGAACTTACTAAACCTCTGCTTCCCTGCTGAGTTGGAAGCACTGTGCAGCAGGGACAGGAGGCTGCTTGTGGGCATAGTCATAGTGGAGGCTCAAGAAGTTTGTATGAAGTGAATGAATGAGTGACCAAATGCACTGGTCAGACCAGCCCCCTCACCATCCTCTGATCATCATCATCCCTCCTGTCTTTTGTCTTACCAACCCAAAGTTCACCCATCCATTCATTCCCAGCTCACTCGCCTTCTTTCTTAGAAAGTTTTTCTGGCTTCAGCCCCACCAGCTCACAGAGAGCAACCATTCTCCCCTCAGCTCTGATAGAATTTACTCTCTCTAGGCTTCATAATTTACCACTTAATTATGATCTCCCCCATAATGTTCACCGAAGGGTAAGTGGGTTACTTTGGGACCCCTGGTATTCAGAGGGCCCGAGTCCCTTGCACTGGGACCTCGTCTGGGGCTTCCTTTGGGTCACCCGGGGCATCTAGCCCAGGGCTGAGTGCAGAGAAGATGCGTAAAACCAATTCGTTGATGGAAGTGAGGGACGCGATGCCGGCTGGGCAGCCAGGGGAACTCTGAGTGAGTCCTCGCGCTGCCCCTCAGCAGGTCTGGGGACCTTGGCCAAATTACGTGCTTCTCCATAGGAAAAAGGGGATAATAATGCCTATAATAGTTCCTCTCTCACCTGAGGGTCTTCAGGATTGAAGATACGTCTGTAAAGCACCCAGCAAGTGCTGGCAACAAGCAGGTGATAAAGAGCAATGGTTAGTGGGTCTGTCGGCCAGTTGGTGATAGTAGTCAGACTGAGCTGGAACTTCCAACTCCAGCTTCATCTCAGAGTTGCAGTAGTCACAAGGGGGGGTGTTTGTGGTCTGAGTGTCCTCTGAGACCCTCCGGTTTGTTTTTCCAGCATCCCCACACCTTACTAGATTAATACTAAATTCAACCATTTTGTGTTTCCATATCTGATCTGCAGCCTTCTGAGCTTGTCCGTTCATTTATTGTACTTTTTAATTCTTTTACTCAGCTATCGGATGTTGGTTAAGCCCTCCTCTGTGCAGGACCCTGTGCGAAGCTACACGCTCTCCTCTCCACCTGATTCCATGGGCTCCTGCTAGGGTGACTGAAGGTCCCGTGTCCCAAGAAACCCCTCAAACAAGTTGTCATTGAGTCAACCCTGTTGCCAAGTAGAGCTGCACTCTATAGGGTTTTCAGTGGCTGATTTTTCCAAAGTAGATCCCCACACCTTTCTTCTGAAGCGCCTCTGGGTGTACTCGAGCCTCCAGCCTTTCAGTTAGCACAGTGCCCTAACCATTAGCACCTCCCAGGGACTCCGAGAAACCCCTCAGTCCTGGGCAAACCGGAAGGGTTGCTCACCTTATCTCCCGCTCTTTAAATCTGTTTTCTTCCTGTCTGATAAGATTCTCCTCACTCAGGCTCAGGGACCTGGAAATCTCTTTGCCTTTTGCCAGGGCTGTCCTTTTGCCCCTGCAAGGGCGCTAAAACCAATGCCGAGGAGCCCCTGGAGTCCCCGTCTGGGAGGGGCAGTTCTGAGCCCCCAGCTTGGGACATGACTGGGAAGCCAGACCAGGAGGCGAGTTAGGGGTTTCAGACTCCCCTGGGAAGCACCCTCAGAATCATCCTTAGTGTTGACACACCTCTGTCTTACCTCCCTATCTCCATACTTGGGAAGAGTTTCCCCCTTTCTTCCACAGATTTTTTTACAGGCTGATTCTCAAACATTCCAAGCTGGTTTTTCCGGGCTTCTAATCGGTTTCCGTGCCTCGATCAGGCCCTCCATGTCCCTTTAAAGTGTGGAGCCCAATTTAATGCAGCAATTCCCAGGCCAGGCAGAGCTGAACCCAGTCGTCTGCTCAGCCTCACGGGGCTGAGGACCCAGGTGTGCCCCGCTCCCAGCCTTGCCTCTGACACCCCGGGCTCTGTCCAGACCCCTCCCACTTCCCCTCACCCCCCCCCCTCTTTATCTGCAGCTCCCAGCATGTATGGCTCTCTCTATCAGTGTATCAGGCCAGAATGCCTCATCTAAAGTGTATATATTACCTAATAAAATCCTTCTTATTTGGGATTATTGCATCAAATTTTAATTTCCTCACTCGAGCGGCAGCATGTCAGCCTGCCTGTCAGTGAAGGGCCGATAGAAGGTGAGAAGAGCGGATAAACTGCACAAATTACCACCGACCGATGCCTATCAGCCCTTTGACTGGAATTGACTGGAATTAAGGACTGAGAAATAGGATTTTCTGCCTCAGAATCTGCTGTGGCAGCTCTGGTCGGAAGTCTGCTTCCACTCCACTGGCCTCTGCCTCCCCAGGGTGCCTCCCAGTCCTGAAGCAAACTGCAGGTTCACCTTTCAAGTCTTTAATCCTGTCATGGAGGTGGGGGTGGGGCGGGGGGGTCCCAGCTGAGCAAAGAAGATGGACTGGTTTTACCGAAGAAGATGGACTGAACCCTGGATGCCCAGTAGAGCCCAGTTGGGCTTCTGCTTTAGCTACTGTCCTGGTGACAGCTTCTTTGAAAGGGCAGATCAAGAAGGGGAGAAATACAGTTCCTTCTAGAAATGTCCCAGCTACTCTTGACTATGCCCTACCAGTTCCCTAGCCACCTTGGATACCTCGCTGTAGCTCACCCACCCCTCACCTTGGCATGCCCACTGGGCACAAAGCCCTGGGCCCTCTCACCTGTGCTGGAGAGCATCGGGGTCCGCCCCAGGCCCACCCCTGACACAGCCCTCCAGTCTGAGTCACCCTCACCCCACCTACTCACAGCACTTTCTGACCCTAAGCAAGTCCCTGAGCCCTCTGAGCCTCAGTTTGCTCACATACAACCTACCACTTGGGGTTGTGAAAAGTAAGTGAGAGAATCTGTGTTGACTGCCCAGTGCAGTGCTTGGTACATAGTAGGTGCTCAGTAAATGCTAGTTCTCCCTGTGGGCTGTTAGCTCTTCTTACAGTGCACAGAGAACTCCTTACCTCTGGAATGGGATTTTTAATCTAGGGTGTCGGGGTGTCTGAATTTGCCAGAATTGTTTAGAAAACATGATGTGTACATGCATTGTCTGGGAAGAGGCACCTTAGCTTTCATTCAGCAGGTCAAAGCCTCAGTAATAACAGTCACTTTTACAGCATTTGTTACCTATCAGGCTCTGTTCTGGTGCTTTACATGTATCACATCCTGAGGGGTGTGATATTATTATACCCATTTTATAGATGGGTTAAACAAAGCAGTGAGAGGCTAAATAACTTACTCAAAGGAGTCAAACCCAGGCAGTCTGGCAACAGAGTCCAAACCCTTAAGCTCCACGCTTTCCCTCCATCACAAGCAATCAGGATCCTGTAGGCCTTCACACCTGGCCTGCCCACCTGTAGCCTCTCTGGGGACAGCCTCACTTCCCAGCAGGCCCCCTCCTTCTTGCAATGTGGGTTTTCATGAAGGGAAGAAGCCCCATAAGCCCTGGACCTGGACCTGGGACCAGCCCGCCTGCTCTCCTGGCCACGCGCTGGTATGGCCCCAGCGGAGGCCCACCCTGAGAGCCAGCACAGGCCCAGTGGCTGCAGCAGAGGGGCTGCTCCTGGTCCTCCATCCCCTTGTCTTTGGGAATAACTTTCAGTATATTGAAAATATAATCACTGAAACTGAAAGAAGAGCCACAGGGTTCCCGAGGGCCCTCACTCCTCCCTGTTAATTCCTTCTCATAACGTTTCTAGTCTTTTTGGCTGCACTTGTATTAAAAGCTCAGGGTTTTATTAAAAATGGATTTATTTACCCAAAAAGAGATGAAATTCCAAACTTTGTCAGGAGCCCATTAGAGCTCACTTTGCGGAAGCTCCGGTGAGGCCTTTCCCGGGAAGAGCAAGCCACCTCATCCTCTGGGCCTGGGGGCCCTGCCAGCCTCCTCTGAGCTCTGCCCACCCAGGAGGACTCTGGGCAGCCCCAGGCAGGCTGCCCAAGGATGAGATGCTCACAGGGCTCTGAGGACTGAGGCTTCCTTGGCCACCAGGCCCCGTCTTTGTGCAGGTCACCACTGGCCCTGTTGTCTTGTCCTCCTGAGGCTTACTGCCCTAGGCCCAGCCCATTCCAGCCTCTCGGTGGTGCTACACCTGGGGGCATACAGCTGCCCAAGAGGTTTATTGTTTAGTAGCTCTCTGGAATGGTGCTCTGATAGGCACCGGGCTGGTTAGCCTGTGGGCCAGTCCCTGGCCCTAGAGAGCAGGGACAGCCTGGGGGACATATGTGGGATCCAGGCCAATGGGGCCTTATCAGAGGGAGATGCCCCTGTGTGCAGAGAGCCCTTCCTGGCAGCTGAGGCCTCGGGCCAAAGTCTCGCACACTAGGGACCTACTCCTGGGGGCAGACCCAGGCCTTTCCTGTGACCCCAGGAGGGGCAGACCTACTGAAGTCCCTGCGGGGTGATGGGGGGACTAGTATAGATCCTTCAAGTCTAATGCAGTGCTTCCCAAATGACCTCTCATGGACCTCTGAGTCTGGGGCTGTCAACAGTGTTACTTGAAAGAGTCTGTTTTCAGATAAGAAAGCCTGGGAAGCACAAAAGCTAACTGCTTTCTTTACTACTTGAGTATTTCTCGGAGCCTTGACTGCACTAGGAAACCCTGGTGGCATAGTGGTTATGACCTATGGCTGCTAACTAAAAGGTTGGCAGTTTGAATCTACCAGGTGTTCCTTGGTAGATTCAAACTATGGGGCAATTCTACTCTGTCCTTTAGAGTTGCTATGACTGGGAATCAACTTGACAGCAACGGGTTTTGGGTTACTGCACTAAACCAAAAAAACAAAACAAACCTTGCCATTGAGACGATTCTGACTTATGGTGACCCTGTGTGTTTCAGTGTAGTACTGCCCTCCGTAAGATTTTCATGGTTGTGACCCTTTGGAAGCAGATCACTGGCCACTAAAGCCCACTGCAAATCTGCAGGGGAGGGGTGAGGTATATAGGTTTTCCCAAATCTTACATGAGTTAATGCTTGTAAATAGTGCCTGGCCACAGCAATGTCTTTAATAAATGACTGTTATCATTATTGTGGGGTCCCTGGGTAGTGCAGAAAGGTTGGAGGTTCGAGTCTACCCAGAGGCACCTTGGAAGAAAGACCTGGCGATCTACTTCCAGAAAATCAGCCTTTGAAGACTGTTCTACTCTGAAACACATGGGGTTGCTATGAGTCAGAGTCAACTCCACGACAACTGATTTGGGTTTTTTGGTTTATCATTATCCTAACAGGACCTTTTACAGAGATAGTGTTGCCAGGCAGGCAGGGGCACTTTGGAGCCAAAGTACCTGCATTTGAATACTGGCTTCACCATTTACTCCTCGAAGTGGGGTCTTAGAAAAGTTACCTAACTTGTGTGCCTCAGTCTCCTCCTCTGTAAAATGGAAATGAGACTGAGACTTGTCTCGTGGGGTTGTTGCAAGGGTTACCTGAGCTAATACACTCAAAGTGTTCATAGCAGGCTGGGCACAGAGTGAAGAAACAGGACAGCTAAATATAACGTGGGATCCTGGCTTGACTCTTGGACCAGAGAAGAGCATTAATGGGACAACCTACAACATTTGCATATGGGCTGAAGATTAGTCAATAGTATCATGCCGATGTTAATTGCCTGGTCTTGATCATTGTGTGTGGTTATGTAAGAGGTTAACATTTGAGGAAGCCGGGCGGGGGGGACAGGCATAGGGGAATTCTTTGTACTGTTTTTGCAACTTTTTTTTGTAAGTCTCAGATTATCTCAAAATAATTAGTTAAAATGCGGGATGGGGGAAGGATAACTGCTGCTCTTGGTATTTCACAGTTTACCTCACGACTCAAGTCCCTCAGAACCCACTTTGGGAGATGCTAGTTTAACGGCATCTTTCTCCCACTTTGTAACAGTCTGTTTTCTCCAGGGGACCTGGCCAGGGCGGCTGTGCCCGCAGAAGAGGGTCAGGGCCTGCTTTCTGCTCGGCCTGGCCTCTGGGCTGTGTCCATCTCTCCGAGGGGATGTTGCTCCTGAAATGCTCTCACCTTCCCTTAGCCAAACGCCGAGGGGCTCTGACTGCTGCAGCTCTGGGCCCAGGAGAGGACAGGGTGGCAGCTGTGAGCAGCACTGCCCGGGAGGAAGAAGTGGGGCCCTCCCTCTGTTCTCACACATAGACCCCAAGGAGCAGGAGAGGAGGCAATGTGTTCCCCAGGGCCCCATGCCCCCAGGGCAGAGAGCCTGCCTGTCAGAGAACAAGGCTGTCTCAGGAAAAGGTGCTCAGATGAGGCAGGGATACAGCCTGCAGACTCCAGCGCAGGTGTCGGCCTCTGGCTAATGAGTGAGCTAATGGGTAAGAAGTGGAGCCCTTCACTGGACATGCAAATGCTATTAGATATTTCCTCAGAGGGTGGGGACAGGACCTGTCTTGCTCTCCATCACCCAGGGAAAACTGCAGGCCGGGGCCAGACCTGAGGCAGGTACAGGTGGACAGACAGACACAGCTGGCATGGACAGTGATGGGATAGGGCCTGGGGAGCGAAGTGAAGGTCATCCTGGGCCAGGGGCAACTCGGCAATTGGTGGTAGTGGAGCAAGGGATGTTAAGGTCCTCTCATTTGTACATTCAATCAATCAATCAATCGATCAATCACTTGATCAATTAATACTTGAATGTACCCCTTATATGCCAAAATCTTTTCTTAGGAGAATAGTTTATGCCTCAAAGCCTTTGCATGTGCTGTATCTTCTACCTGGAGCTCCTTTGTTTTCATTTCCCCTCCCTGGCAAACTCCTACTCATCCTTCATGACCCATCCTAAATGTTACCTTCTGTACAACACTTTGCGGCTCCTCCAGGTGGACTTCTGCATAGTTTTGTACATTTCCCCATCTGAGCACCCTATATGTGCAGAGCAGCTGTCTGTGCACATCTCCTTGACCCTTCCCCACGGGCTGTGTACTTCCCAAAATCAGGGACCCCTGATTCCCCATCCTGGTAACCTCAGTTCCCGGCCCCTTGTCCACCAGTGCTGCTGGGAGAATGAACAGAGTGTGGGTGCAGAGCTGTAATGGGCATGGTTTGTAGGGCCATGGTGGAGATACTCACTTTGGGGATTTATGGTATATTCATCCATAATTGATCTGTGGTAGTCTCCTTTACTCAGACCCTAGGGAAAACAATGTGCCTTCAGTGGGAACTACCTATGAGGTCCCAGGGTGTTTGCTGTCACTCATATTAAGGTGGGGAAAACAGACCAGAGAGGTGCACAGCAGTTTTGATGGATGGTTAAGACAGAGACTAGGTATCTTGTCTCCCTGATGCTCCTCCATCAGCTCTTCTCCTATGGGTAGTTCATCTGGATGAGAGGAGCTGGGGAAGAGTGGGTGGTGACAGCATCAGCAAAGTTGTGCCTCTTCAAAGGACAATGTGGGGTTTGCCTGGGGGCTTCAGCATATGTCCCAGGGACAATGGGGGCAGCTGAGGCCTGAGCACTTGGTACTCCTTCCTGGGCTGGCCTTGCAGCCAGGAGTCTGCCTAGGGATGGTGCCAGCACATCTACACAGAAAGATAGCAGTCTGGGGGCCGAGCAGCCCAACTCAAGTCCTCCTCTCTCCCACCCAGGGCACGACGGTACGCATTATCACTGCCATCGACCAGGATAAAGGACGTCCCCGGGGGATTGGCTACACCATCGTCTCAGGTAAGGCCCAGGCAGCCCCGTGCCCCCAGCAAGGGATGTCAGACTCTGAGGGGCTAAGGAGAGTCTGTGGCGTGTGGGACAGATGTATGAGGGGACCTGGCCCCAGGGACGGTCCTGGCAGAGGACCCAGGAAGAGGACTTCCTGGGTGGGGGAGGGGGACAGGTGAGGAGAAGAGGCACTGGGATGCCGATTGAGGCTAAAACCTGTGGGCACTGCTTGGGTGGCCTTGGTTAATAGGAGTGTGTACCGTGGTCCAAGATCGGAGGCATCGAGTATTCGGGCCTCTGGGCCTGGGACGGCAGTGGCTCCCATCTAACCTCCTTCTTGGTTTTCCTTTTCTTACTTGATGAAAAGCTGGCAGCTTTTACAAGATTTTAGAACCAATAGAATTGCAACTGTGGCTGATTTCATGCTCTTTTCACAGTTCTGTCACATTTTCAACCATTAGAAATTCATTCTCACCTGGAATGTTGCAGGGGGAGGCATGTAAGCCCTCCTTCCCTGCCCAGATCCCTTGGTTGAACAGGCTAGTGACTGACTAAAGATATGGCTCCAGGTGAATCCCTGACCGTACATCCCCTCCCAGAGGCTGACAAAATGGCGTCTCCATTGGACTGTCCCAGGGCTGGGTGGTTTTGGAGCAAGGGAGCTGGTGAGAGTCCACTCAGGGACTCTAGTTCTGTTCTGCTTCCGGCACCCCATACCCTCTCCACACGTAGCCTCGCTGCTCACCCCACTAGTTGGTGAAGGGCCAGCCTGGTGCATCTTGAAAGGTTAAGACTGATGGCCAGAATGTCAGGTCACCAGGCTACTTTCCACCCTGTTTTCCTACCACACCCTCACACCCCCAGGGGCTGGGAGTAGCATTGTTCGGGTATTTCTGCCTAACACTCAAAAGGCAGCAAGGCATAGTGATTAAGAATATAGAGGATGGAGTCTCTGGAACCAGACTGCCTTAGGCAGGTCACTTAACCTCTCTATGCCTCAGTTTCCTCATCTATAAAATGGGAGCAATGAGAGTACCTATCTCAAGGTGGTTTAAGGGTCAGATGCCTTATATATGTAAAGAGCTTAATTAATGCATGTAAAGTGCTTTGTAAGTGGTGGTTATTACTATTACTGCCAATAATAATAATACGCTTGGGAAGCTAGGGGTTAGCTGGTAGGAACACAGGAAATCAGAGGTATCATGGGCTCTCTGTGACCTGTAGCTGCTGGTGTGACTATTGTTGTGCCTTTAAGCCCAGGGTACCCCAGGACCAGAGCAAATGCCAGACTGACAGGAGTGTGGCTTTGGGCCTCTGCTGCCCACCCCCACCACCACACTCTTGTGTACTTGTGGAAAGAATGGATGGATGAATGAATGTCACCCCTAGGGAAATGGGTTCTCAAAGTCCAGTATGACCAAAAATCACCTGGGGAACCGACCAAAAATGCAGAGTCCATGGCACCCACGGGTTCTCATTCTGTATGTAGATCTGGGAACGGTCCTTCCTCACCAGCATCCCAGGTGGTTCAGATACAGGTGGTCCATAGGCCAGCCCTAGGGGAAAGCCGTTCTGCAGGAAGACAGAGCCCCACTGGGAATTGGACCCCTCCTGGGGTGTGCAGAGGAGGAGGGAGGCCCGTGCTGGTGCTGGTCTCTGTCATGAGTTCTGCAAGTTGAGAAGCAAAGCAAGTGCCTCCCAAGTGACAAGGGGCTTGTGCTGAGGATCTGAGGGAACATCAGTGAACCCTGATTGGTGATGGAGTTGGGGGACCAGGATAAGGTGGTAGCAGGAAGGGCACACCTGGCTGGGTGGGGAGTGTCTCTTCACTGCCTCTGGGCTGGCTCCAGACATGTCCCAATGTGGTTGGGACAGAGAGCAGGGGAGCCAGGACCTGCCTAAGGTCATGCCCAGATCGGGACCTCTGCAGAGATGCTGGGATCCCATCTTGCAGGGCACTGGTCCATTCTAGGTTCCTGCTGGATGCGAGGCCATCAGCCCCAGACTCTCAGGTCCTCTCCAACCTTCAAAGCTGGCTCCAGCCAGCCCCACTTCCTCACCCCTCCCTTTGGAGCAGGAGGCTGGAGGGCCGATCTGCTGAGCCCTTGGTGTCGGCTGGGCTCTGGAGCTTGGGTCTGGGGACAATTGCTTGCAGCAGCATCCTGCGGGACTTCCAAGGGTGTCATCCCCTAGTCCAGGTTCCTAAGTGCAAACCACAAGATGAGAAGGGAGACCCAGGGTGTGAAACCACAGGGAGAGGATGTATGTGGAGGTGAGGGTGGGAAGCAGTAACTTTCAGAAGGTCTGGAGCACTTAGCATAGCTTTATAGGATTCCTACTGCCAGCACAGATGTGCCTTGAGGGCTTTTAGAAAGGATGACAAATGGGTTTCCTCTCATATGTCAACTTTGATTGATTAGTAATGGCTACTTGAAGAAGCTTATGAAGCCAAACAGGCTCAGTGCGGAAGAGTGCAGTATTCAATTGATAGGGTCTGCTCTGGTTGTGCAAAGGGTAGGCACAGCACTTGTGGCAAATATTTGCCATCCTTGGTAAGTCAGTGCTTGCACTGCACTCAAGGGGTGGCCCTCAATTGCTCTCTAACCACCTCAGGAGTGTTAGCCCTGCCCCTACCTTTCCCCCATGTCCCTGCTGGATGGCAAGCAGCTTGAGGAAAGGGTGGTTCTTCTCTTTCTCTCCACTCCCCCATCCTGAGCACCAGCACAGCTGGACTGGCCCCCCACCTGGTGCCTGCTCACCTTCCTCCTAGGAGCCAGCCTCAGTGTACGCTGTTGGGCAGGAGGGCAGAGTCCCCAGGGGGGCAGGTGGACAGCAGCTAGGATTTGGCCTTGCCTCTCGCAATTGGCTGCTAACCTAAAGGTTAGTGGTTCAAACCCACCCAACAGCACTACAAAAGAAAGCCCAGCAATCTTCTTCTATAAAGATTATTGCTGTTGTTGTTAGGTGCTGTCAAGTTGGTTCTGACTCATAGCGATCCTATGTATAAAAGAATGAAACACAGCCCAGTCCTGCGCCATCCTCACAATCATTGCTATGTTTGAGCCCATTGCTGCAGCCACTGTGTCAATCCATCTCAAGTATCTTCCTCTTTTTTGTTGACCCTCTACCATAAAGATTACAGCCAAGAAGACCCTATGGAGCAGTTCTACTTTGTAACATGTGGGGTCACCATGAGTTGGAATCGACTTGACAGCAATGGGTCTGGTTTTGGGTTTGGTCTACTTCCCTAGGCCAGTGTAGACATTGCTGAAAGGAACATTGTCTGCCAAGGGCCTGATCCCACACACCTGCCTCTTGGTAGCATTTGGTTGCCGTCCTCCCCTGGTGGCTTGGCCGGCGCCTGTCTGGCTTGAAGCAGGCGGAAGGGGTGGCTCATGTCCTAGCCTTACCCATGAGGGCATCTTCACAGTTGATGGCCCCGTGCTGACCCTGAGTGCCCAGTGGGACCTGTTTCGGCCCTAGGTGGTCTGGAACCATTTCCTTTGAAGGAAAGACCCACAGGCCTCAGAGGCACCTGGAGCCAGGCCGAGAGTCCTGAGGGTCACTGGTGTTGGTAGCCCGAGTCCCCAGGCATCTTGAGGGTCAGAGAGAGCTCTGTCTGTGATGGGTGAGGCCTGCCCTGTCCCACATAGGGGGCACAGACCTGAGCCCCACTGATCCAGGGCACACAGTTAAGCTACCTAGTTGCTCCGAGGCCCTGTCCCCTCCAGGCCGTTTATCAGCCCTGAAGCTAGGGGAATTTATGTCAGGACACCAGCACTTTCCCCAGTACTAATGACCCCTCTGTTTTGCCAAGAACAAAGAGGCCTTCGGCGGTAAGTTATGGCTCCATTGCCGTCAATTTGTTCTCATCCCCTCCTGGCCAAACTGAGACTGAAGAATGACAAGGTTCTTTTCCATAGAGAGCCTGGCGTGGGCCCCGTCTGCTCTATCCCCCTGTGCCTGCTCCCAGCACCCACTAGGGCTAGTATTTCCTCCAGGGTCAGACCCAAGCGGTTCTCCGGGGCTCTGGGGAGCTCCCATCCCCAGCAGCCTGCCAGCCTGTGGTCTGAGCAGACAACTTCCTCTGGCCTCATCCCTCCCCTGCCGGATAGAAAGCGTCCTGCCTCAAGGAACAGCTACATCCCACCCACCACGGAGCACTGAGCTTAGAGTCCCCAATTGTAAGTTTGAGGCCCAGCTCTGCCACCAGCCAGCAACATGTCTCTCTACCCTTCAGTCGTTATCCATGGAATGGAGTTAATAATCCCCGTGGTGGATAAGATGGTGCTGAGAAGACTGTACCAGTTGCTGTCAAGTCAGTTCCGACTCATGGCAGCCCCCTGTATACCAGTATAACTGTGCTCCATAGAGTTTTCAATGGCTAATTTTTCAGGAGTAGATCACCAGGCCTTTCTTCCAAGGCACCTCTGGGTGGACTCAAACGATCAGCCTTTTGGTTAGCAGCTGAGCATGTTAACCATTTGCACCAGAGCGCTTATAAAGAGCCATAAAATGTAAAGGAACTATTAGGACCCAGGGGTCCATACGGCTCTTATTCATTCATTTTTTTCCTTCCTTCATTTATTTATTGATTGCAATATGGAGAAGTGGTTGAGAGTGCAGGCTCTAGAGCTGACAGTAGTGCCTGAGACAGTAACCACTAGCCATGCTGTCCAATATGGTAGCCCATATGGCTATTGAACTCTTGAAATGTGGTGTCTTAATTATCTAGAGCTCCTATAACAGAAATACCAAAAGTGAGTGGTTTTGAGAAACAGAAATTTATTTTCTCACAGTTTAGGAGGGCAGAAGTTCTAATTCAGGGCACTGACTCCAGGGGAAGGCTTTGTCTTTCTGTCGGCTCTGGAGGAAGTCCTTGTCTCTTCAGCTTTTATTCCTTGGCTCCTTGGTGATCTTCATGTGGTGTGACATAACTCTTCCCCCATTTCTGCTCTCCTGCTTGCTTGTTGAATCTCCTTTATACTCAAAAGAGATTGACTTAAGACACA